GCCACCGCCGGTGCAACTGTCTTCATATATGTTTTTTTTTTTTAATCAACACCTCCCAATGAAACGGGGGGGGGGGGGGGGGGGGGGGGGGAGGGTAGTTTGTTAATGATTAAGGTTTAGGTCCAAAGCCCTTAGAGTTTAGATTAGGTCGCTTATATATCTCTACTAGTTTATAACCCGTGAAAACCACGGTTACAAAATTTATTAAACTTTTATAGTAAAAACTTAAAATTATTTATCAATTATTTTAAATAAATTACTTTTAATATATTAGTAATTAAGATATTTTTTTAGTTATATAGAATTATAATCATTGATTTAAATAAATATGTGAAATATATCATTTTATAATTTGTATTAATTTTTATTCTATTGTTAATAATTTAACTTAATTAGGGTGAAAAGTTCAAATTTTAAAATTTGAAATGGAGAATCATTATGTTGATAAGTGACACGCATTAATTATAAAGAATAATAGGATGACATATGTTAAAAAAAAAAGAAAAATATATACATTAATTAGCAAGTTAATAAGGTGATACATGTCGAATTAAGAATAAAACTATTTTTTTTATTAAAATAAGAAGATTTATATAACTTTTAATCGTCACTATTAACAAAAGAATCTATTCTATAACAGGCTTCACACCAGATACAATTGGCAGATAGTGTCTTTTCCTTGGTTTTTAATTGATTGAAAAATATCGGTATATTTGGTAATTGTAAATGGAACGTTTGGTGCTGCTCTCCTTTAATATTTTGTAAGCTACTTGTTTTTTTCTTTGTCTTGTTTACTTGTTTTTTTCTTTGTCTTTTTTTTTTAAACGGCAAATCTAACCTACTCCTAAACTACACCTTAAATCCACCTATATCCACGACGAGACTTGAACCTTCAACCTCAAGTAGGGAGGGCAACACCGGATACCGCTGGGCTACAAACCCTTTGGTCTCACAAAGGAATTAAAACCGAACATGTCTGTTCAGCCTTCTCGTGGGAGTGAGAGAGTGCAATAATAAATGTTGTCAATTAAGTCACGTGTTTTGGAGATTTGAGTCCGTTATTGAATAAAAAAAGAGCAAATGGATATTTTATTTATTTTATCTGTCAAATGGAAATGTAAAAGTAAGATTCAATTTTTTACATATGATCCAATATTTTTTTTTACATAAAAAGAATCTGTCAAGTGGAGATGGAAAAATATGATCCAAGTGATCTTTGTTTTTGGAAAAATATGATCCGATTGATCTTTGTTTTGACACCTGATTAGTACATAACAATTTTTTGTCATACTCAACAATTGTTGTATTACTGAGTTATACAATATAACATTTTAAAACACTAATTGTTATGTATAGAAAAAAATTGTTCTGTACAAATCATCTCCCACGAGAAAAGCAAAGACAACATCTTACACTACAAGTAAAAAGGCCATTACCGGCGACAATAGTCGCCGGTAAAAGCCCCAAAAGTCGCCGGTAATACTAATAGCGGTGACACGTCGCCGGTACTGAATCGCCGGTACTGCCTCGTCGCTATTGATCAGTTTGTCGCCACTAATGATAATAGTCGCCGCTATTAGTATGTCGCCGCTAATGATTATTGTCGCCGCTAATAAGCTAGTCGCCGGTAATGACATACGTCGCCGGTAAAAGCGTCGCCGGCAAAAGTGTCGCCGGTAATGAGTTTTGTTGCCGGTAAAAGCGTCGCCGGTAATGTTTTTTCAATTTTTTTTTTTTAAATAATGATTTTCATTGCCGGTGATAATATCGCAAGTAAAAGTGTCGCCGGTAATAACAATATTCGATTAAATATCAAAACCAATAGTGTCGACACTAATTACAAAACAAACATCCTATTAAATATCAAACATAATAGTGTCAATGCAAATTACAAACAAACATCCAAAATACAACTAAATATCAAGAGTCATAATATCCGAGTAGCAAAACAACAAAAGTACAATCTACCAAGTAGCAAACCGAGACAACATATGCAAATAAAACCCATTCTTACATACCCTCATCGCCGTTCCTATCGTTTCCTTGATTATTTTGGGATTGAAAAAACAAATAAAGCTCATCCCTACATGTCGGGTCGGCGAGCATTGCACGAAGATTTTCCAACTACATAATTAATAACAATATATATAAACTTATAAGTTAGATCGTCAAATATAAACAAAAACTATTAAAATACATTGTTATTTTTAAAGTAAGATAGAAAACCAAAGTACATTGCTATATTTTGCACTTGGGACAAAAACCAAATTACCAAACTTTTTAGCAAATAACCACCACAAAACCAAAACTACCAAATCAACATGCATTTTACGATGCTAAAGTAGATTGCTATTTTACATGTGATGGTTGTGATGGTGCTTGTGATGGTTGCGAAGGCTGTGGAATCGTCGGGAGACCAGAAGGTTTGCGGCCAATGCCTCTAATGTGGCCATGTCGCTCTCCTAATACTTTCTCGAACGTAGCTCTTTCTTGAGTTGGCGTTAACTCACTTTCACCTTGAGTTTGTTCTAGCAGCTCTTCAACTAACCGATTCTGTAACTCCCAAAAGTGAGTAACAATTAAGTATAAATAAACATTTAAATATATGATAAAATTATAATTAAATACTTACATATTGTTGTTCCGATTCAGCAGTGACAAATACACCATTCTTATCGGTATGAGCTTTGCGAAATGTTTCCACTCTCTTAAGAATCTGTTTAAGTTTAAAAATTAGATTATATTTTAAATAAATAATTACATGTATCATATGGTACCTTCTTATAGCAAGTACTGCTATACGAGCTCGAACCCCCACGATTCACAGTTGTTTGCTTTTCACGGATTTTTTTGTTCCTTTCTGAAGCAATTTTGTGTTCGTCAGTTTGAAAATACTCAACTGTATTCTCCCAGTTATCAACAAGCATAGCATCCGGAGGATTTGCCAATGCTCTCGGGATATCTTCATACCCTCCGACCATCTTGAAATATTCTTTTGCGTCGGCTTTACGCTCTCGAAAACCTTTTAACAAGGCTGCTTGAAAACTCTCTATCAATAGAGTAGCTTGTGCATCCTGGTACATTTGATTGAGATCAAACTTTGTCTACAATAAAGAAAAGTTAACCAAGTAAAAAACAATTATAGTTAAACCTATAAAATATATTTAAATAAATAATTACCGCTAAATGTTGTAATACAGTGTCCTTTATATCAGGGGAAACTCTTTTCCAACTCCATTTGTCGAAAGGGACCATCTGCCACATTGTTTTCCCAACTTCTCGGGAAAACATGTCTCCTGCCTCTCCTACGGGATTAAATGTGATATCCCTATCATATTGCATGCCTATTGGTTTCCCCTGGTTACGCAAGAGCTTTTTCAAGCTTTATATTTTTTGCTTTTCCTCGAACTTTCCTTCGGGCACGTTCCTCAACTACAAATGTAATTAAAAATTATTAGAAACGTCTGAGAAGCCAAATAGTAAATAAAAATTCATGATAAGACTTACCGTCCTGCTCGTGATGGCCAGGACCTCTACTACCTGGGAAAGGTGGGTCCTCAGCTCCGTCTCCCCCATGTCCACGACCCATGACAGCAGCCATGGTAAAGATAAATAACAGCCACACTCTCATCATTTCCTGAAAAATTATAAGATATACAAATACAATTTTTATTATAGATACACATTACATAGAAATAAACATTTAGATAGGAATAAACATTTAGATAGGAATAAACATTTCTATTTAAACTAGAAATCCAAATAAAGTTCATATTACAAACACATATTACAAATACACATTAAATAAGAACTATTCTAATCAGAATCTTCCTCATATCCTTCAGTGTCTTTTTCGGTATCATAGTCAGAATCGGTGTCATCGTAATCAGTATCACAATCAGAAACATCATTGACTCTACCAGTTGGCGGAGGAACTTCAAATGCACTTTCTACATCAACAATGACTCTAGGAATGTTTTGAAAGTACATGCTGAAATCGATAAAAAGTGGAGCATCGGATGAAGACATATTTTGAAGTACATCGACATCGTCTACATTTTCGTGTGAGACATTGCCAACATTTTGAACAAGGTCATCGTTCGATGGTAGATCCCAAATACTTCGATGATTAACATGCTCGACAACACACCGATGGTTATTGTTTGGCTCTCTGATGTAGAACACTTGTTTGGCTTGTGATGCATATATGAGTTGATCATCTTTGTATGCTTCGCGTCGTGTGTCGATACTGGTGAAACTATCACTAGAAATAACTCATGTTCGTGTATCAAACCACTTGCAACGAAATAGTACAGTTGAATAATCATGTGTATACCTCAACTCTATAATCTCTTCTAACTGGCCATAATATTTCTCGAACGGTTGAGATGCAATAGAGGGGGAAAGTGCGGATTCGAGTGACAACCCTTCAGCGGCGACACTTTTACCGGCGACAAGGGGTTTTACCGGCGACTTTAGATAAAGTTGCCGGTAAAGCCACTTGTCGCCGGTAATAGTGTCGCCGCTAAAGATTATATTTCTTGTAGTGTTAAAGATGATGTTTTTGCTTTCTCGTAGGAGATGATTTGTACAGAATAATTTTTTATCATACACAACAATTTATGCATTGCTGAGTTGTACACTAGAATACTTTAAAGCATCAATTGTTGTGGATGGAGAAAAATTGTTGTGTACAAATCATCTCCCACGAGAAAACAGAAACATCTTTAATGCAAGTGGAGATGGAAAAACATGACCCAATTTTACAGCTTCTTTAATATACAAGTAAGATTCTTACATTTCCCATCTTTTCCATCACTGAAGAAGAACAAAGCGATAGACAACATCTTTCACTAAAACGTTATCCTTGGAATACAAAAGAAAGTGGATCATACAATACAATATCGATCTGAATTTCGATCGATCTTTAGCTTCAAAACATTACAAGCAAAAGAGAAATGGTGAACAAAACAAATACAAATCTTAAGTTACACAGGGAATTAATATACCCTGCTATGGGAACAACTTGTGTTCTTGAGCAGAAGAGACGAAGAGAGTCCGAGTGTTGATGCAGTTAGATCGAACTCTAGAACATAGTTCTCTAACTGATGCCCACCTAAGACAATAGATGTTGTTGGCTCAACTCCTCCATCAATAAATGCAAGACATATTACATTCTTCTTGGCTTCCACCATTGAGTTTGCACCATACAGTCTCATCCTTACATTACTGCCTTCCAAAACAAGGTCGATATTTGGAACTGCTGGTCCAGTTATCGTATTGGGAGCAGTCTTTGAGTCAAAGCACGCCCCAAAAGGTGCGACAGATTGTACCCTTTTGATTTTCTTCAGTGATGATTCCTTTATGAAATCTTGAACAAGGCTTTTATAAATGGATGAGTGCAAAATCGTATAAGGTATTGTAGTACTAATCTTTGTTCCCCCAACTCCATTTATATCAAAAGATAGCAGAGATGGACTAAAAGCTACATGTTTACCGCTGATTTCAATGTTTTTGAGATTGATGAAATACTGATAGGAAAGTTCTCCGTCAGATAGAAGACGGGGGCCATTCGGATTGAAAACAAGCGGGGTGGTTACTAGTGACAGCGATTGATCTTCGATGCTAGGAAGCATGTAATATGGACCTCCACCAATGAATATATCCCCCAATCCATTCTCAGATGATGAAGGTAAACAAAGTGTAAATTTTTTAGCCAACTTAAAATAGGATGAAAGTTGTGATGGAAGTGAGTTTTCGTTTCTTGCAAGGCCAACCAACCCTTTAGTATTGTGACCAGGTAAGCCATCTGCGGTGACCGAATCTGCGCAAGCGAATTGGAATTTGGGTGCGTCGTAACTAAACCAAACATACGCACCGTCTGTGGAGTATACGGTAATTGTATCTTCACCAAGCTCTTGAATCGTTAAGTAATTTGGATTAGGGTTGTAAACGAAGATACCATATGCGTTGTTGGAGCACCCTGGTCTAGGAGTCGAGTCGCACGTTAAACAGGAAAATGACCCCTTGGCCTTCTTACATTTACTTGAACCACATGCTATTCGATTATATGAAGACGACACATAGGATGTACAATCAAACCAAACAGATGGTGATCCAAGATCAATCAATGCATCAATTATGGTAGGTGACTCAGGGTGTCCAGACACAAATGTGGTGTAGTACTGGGAAGTTGTTTGATTTTTTCTAATCGGAAGGTGAATGGCTTTTGGTTTTGGCAGTTTGGGAGGAGCTGTAGTCGCGTGAGAGAAGCTTAAAATAGAAAAGATGAAGAGAGTGATAAGCGTTTGAGAAGGTGTCATTGTGCTTGGATGTACAATTGTACTTGATTTCATTGATGTTAATGGCGTTCTTTTATAGTACTCTTGATGCCTATGAGGACATTTGTAAACCTAGTACCTCTAGTGGATGCGTAATAGAATATGTAAAAGGATAATTTATAAATGAACCCAAGTGGTTCTTAATTTAAGAACCATTCGTCATTCTGTCACGTTTATTTGTCCCAAATATCATTATGCACTTTTTTCAATTATTATTATTATTATTATTATTATTATATTATTATTATTATTATTATTATTATTGGAGATAACGGAAAAACAAGACATTCTTATTAAGTTTTTTCAACAAATAGAAAAAAATTAATAACCACTAATTTCGCAGCTGGTTCCAAAATGAGACCTATTATTAATCATCGGAAATAGGAATGTTGATCAGGTAATTTTTTCGGGTTTTAGTTAATTCGGGTCGGATAATTCGGGTTTTTCGTATTAGAAAAAATATCCGTTATCCTACCCAAACTAAATTCAAGTAATTCGGGTTTGAGTAATTCGGATATCGGGTTGGATTTGGGTAATTCAGGTATTACCCAAAATATATAATTTTTTTTTTGAATTTCACCTGAAAATAAATTTAATGATATAAATATATTATTTTTTATTAATCATTATTATATAAACAAACGAGACATAAACAAAGTTACTTAAGTTTTGAACATTGAGATTTTTTAGTCAATAATACCTGAAATATCAAGTAATTTTTAACAACTTAATCTAATCTAATAAGATGTTAAAAAAACAAATACTTAGAGACCTTAATTTAAAAGTTTAAAATGTTTAAGATAAATGTAACCATAAGTTTTGTCACGTTCTGAAGTTTCGTCAAGATAATGAGTTTGTTGGTTGCAATAAAAACTATAATATGGAGAACAGTTAAGTTTTAAAGAACATGATGATATATAAACAATTACTTTTAATATTGTTAGTATCATATTGTCATAATAAATAGATTAATGTTTTACAATAATAATAGTTAGTTTAAGTGTGATCAAATACCTACTATATTGTACAAGCTCTACAAAAAAAAAAAGGAATTTATAAAATAATTCGAGATACCCGAAACCCAAAAAATGTACCGTTTATCCGACCCGAAAAAATCAGGTTACCCGATTACCCGAAAAAATTTACCCGATACCCAATTTACCCGACCCGATTTACCCGATACCCAAAAAAACCGGGAGGGTAATTCGGGTATCGGATATTTTCGACAGGGTTAAACAGAAAGATGCCACCGCCAACAAGAAGTAAATCCATCTCTCTCCCTCTCTTCTAACCTCCTTTCACCACCAGTGGAACATCAAATCATCACAAGGATGAAACGCAATGCAATGATGTCACAAAAAACGAATTTATGGTTACTCAATTTTATTTGAAAACAAGATTTAAAAATTCGGAAACAAAATCACCCCAAAATATCAAGATCCAAACATCCACGTCATATTGTTGAGATTTGATTTTTGTTTGTCGTCCATCTTAATACAAAAGTATGACAACTTTTCAAGTTTTTAAATGGGTTCTTTTTCTTTACCCATTTCCTTCTTTTAAATTAGCATCGATGTTTTATCCATACAAGATGTGTGTATTATGATCCCAAGATGAAATGATAGACTTTTAGTAGTATTTTACAAGTTTCTAGGTGTGTAGAAACGTTCAAACTTAATAACTGGGATGGTCGTAGACAATGTTTTAAAACTACCTGAGTTTGCCAATTACTTCTCCGAGTACTCGCTACTCGGTCCCTTATCGAGGCGAGTTACAGAATCCGATTACTTTCTGATCGGCCCCTTACTGAACTGAGCAGTGTTGTAAAACTTGGTCAAATCAGTCATTAATATGTATAATATACTTAATAACTTATTATTTAACACATTAACATATGATTATTACTTGTTAGGTCCCAAATTTGTGGGATCTATTTAATGATCGATCAATTGCAATAGAAATGAAGAAGAAGAAGATTAAACAACCAAGCTTGCATACAATTCAACCATGAAATGTCGGATACAACTTGGATAGACCGAAAACCAGTTGGAACGACTAGACTAGGTTCTGATAACCTGACAACAATTTATAGCAACACACAACAGACCGAAAACAGGTTTTCGGTCAAAGCCTGATTGAAAACCTACCTAGACCGAAAACACAAATACACACAAGAGACAACCAAAACACATTAACAACAACCCTAAACCATCCATGCATTGATGTCTAGCCCAAACCAAATATATTCGCCCTTGAATCTCCCCCTTGGTTTGGGGCTAGCATGAATCATTCTTTATCGACCACCAGCACATCTGATTGTCCAATTGCTCCATTCCATATCTCCTTCTCAATAATGAATGCCACCATTGAAGTGTAATCCTTAGCAGCAGGCTCAAAAATATCTTCAGCCACCTTGATCTGATGAATAGAAAGCTCATGGATATCCCTCCTTCCAAACTGTAGCAGATCCCTATTGTCAAAAAGACGAATACACTGATGCTTGAGTTTGATGACAGCAGCAGCTGTGGTTTCATGAAACACCCAGTATTCCATAGATTGAAGAGATCCATCTGGATGGTTCTAAAGGATAGGGATCTGCATTACTTGATTTGTCGCGAGCCACATCACATATCGAAGAGGCTGATTGGTTTTGGGATCTATGATATTGGGGTAAATCTTGATGATAGACGATGCTTTCTTCATTGAGGGAAAACCCTTTACCACTTGACCTTCTAAAAACAACCTGAATTATGTTGCCTTGGGTTCATTTGTTGGATTTGAAAACGGGGCTTTAGACAATTCCGTAAGATCAACCCTGGTCCAAGAATTGAAGTCGTGAGCATCTTTATACAATTCAGTATTTCCACTCTTCCTTCTTATGATCCACATTTTGAGAGGGTCATGGTAACCCCATGAAATGATCCCAGACCTATCACCATAAGTGTTTTTGAAGTGATTTTCTCCATGGTCCGTAAGGGTGATCTTTGGTTGATTCACGGGAGCATTCTGATTCGAGTTCTTCTTGAATAAAAGTTGACCCTTCTCAGTAGACTTGGCTTGTCTAGCATGTTTCAACACCACGACATTTGGAGCATGTGCTGGTTCTTTGTCAAAACGATTGACAACTATGTTTGAACTTGTAGCAGTTGGAACAATGTGAGCGTCTTGATTTGGAAGATAAATTCTGAGCTCAATGATAGATGATTTGAATTTGTCACCAAATTCTTCTTCCACCTTCTTTTTCAATTCATAATCATTGGCGGTCAACAAACCAAAATGTGTTTAAAGATCGGTGATCTACTTCGTTTTCTGAGCTTTATCTTCAAGAAGATCAGCAACTTGAATATTGAGCTTGGCATTCTCAGTTTGAAGGTCTACAACCTTGATATCAAGCTCGATATTAATCTGGTTCAGCACACTAATCTCCTTTCTCAGTTCAGGCACTGAGGCGTCATCATCTCTAGATATACCTTCCTCTATGGATATTCCTTTTCCGCGTGAAGAGTGAGTTGGACTTAATGACTGGGCCAAATGAACAACTAGTGTTTCAAAGGCAACGTCATGATAAGGCCTTGGAGGAGACGAACTCAAGCCAGCAGATGAGCCACCAATTTCATGAATCAAGTTGGGGCCTTCCTGAATGGGCACGGATGAAGAAGGGGCAGTAGATGTGAATGGGGAAGTCTCTGTGGTTTGAATTAGGTCAGGAAAAATAACTCCCACCCTTGGATCAGTTCTTCTTCTTTTCATCGGGGGCTGGGAGGTCAGGTCTGTCTGGGCTTCACTCACAATTGGCTCAGATGTAGGAATAACCTTTTCAAGGGGGGAATCGCTGAATAGGTGTCCATTTGAATTGAAGAATCAGCTGCTTGAACAGGAATAGGAAACTCAACTTCTTGATTGTCAACATTTGTCCTTATCTCCGGTGTTGGATTGGCACCATCATTGATATCATTGAAGATGTCATCAAGATCTTCATTTGACAAGGTATACTTGGGTCCAGTGAATTGTTCAGCAATATCATCTCCATCATAGCCAGACAGATCAACTCTTTCATTCTCTTCTCCTTCCTCTATTTCAGTGAATTCTTCTGTGGAACCTCCATCAAAATCACTTTGAACTATCACATTTTTTAAAATATGCTCCTCAGCCACAATGCCAGTTAGAGTAGCAGCAACTGTTTCCTCATGGTCTTAAATGTTGATTACATCATCATTTATATTTGTATGATCTGATGATGTATGATCAGTTGAAGTCTGCTCATGTGACCCATGGGATCCAGATGTGTCGGTCAGCTCGGAAAATTTTCCAAATTTCTCTAAAGAGTACTTTCCTTGGAACATGATTTTCCCTTTTCGATTTTGCTTCATCAGACTGATTGTGTTTGGTCCAAAAGCCTTCATGTCAAGAATCTCTCCTGTCTTGGCAAGGTCTGGAAAAAGGTAGTTGAGAAAGATCTAGATGAACCGAGGGTAAACCAAGAATTGGTCCTTCGCCTTCTTTTTGAGATTAGTGACCATTTCTTCTAAGATAAATCTTGAGAAGTTGAAGTCGATTCCTACTTCCAGTGCAATAATAGCTTGAGTATTCCTTGAAGAGATCTCGTTTGCTCCACCGTTACACCCTAAAATACAGTTAACAAACACATACGCCAGAAACCTCCAGTATGGAGGTAGCAGCTTCTTTAGGCTCGGTGGGAAAACGCCTTCATATCCCATCTTTTCAAGGTACTCATCAACAACTCGCAGATCAATTTTGGAAGGATAAGTAGCCTTGTCATCAATCTTCAATGTGTCTCTGATAAACTGCTCAATGATGACAATTTTACGTCCTTTGACAGTTTCTTCGATTGTCTGCACTACGTTGCTTTCATTTCTGATGCTAGCTGAACTCCATAACTCGTTGATTAAATCCAAGTAGATTATGGGGTTCCATGTGAGTGTTGAGACAAAGCAACATTCACGCAACCTGAACATCATTGA